AGAATATTTTAGAAAATTCATATTAAAGTTTTCTAAACTGAAACAATATGTAAAGACCTTTTAATATTTCGTTAAACTCGTATTATAACAGTGTAAATGATTGATAAGGTAATTGTAGACATCATTGTCTGTCACATGGACAATAAGTATGTTTCACGTATTGTGTCTTTAATAATTTAACTATTTAGAGTGAATATTTATTGCCTTGCATACACCTAATAGACATTGAAATGTGTTTAAAATTCTTACAGCGACATTAATTTAGAAACTACACATTAATATTAAATTCGTTTCTAATCAATTGCAAAATTATATTTTTTATATTGTCATAACTTAAGGAGATATTTAAGTCAATACCTTTAAGCGAACCCTCCTACTGTTCGAACACCTAGCATTTTAATGCATTTAGGGTTGTTAACGTCATTAATAAAAATGCACAAAATACTGCAGCTAAAAATATCATGAACAGAGCTGTGCGGACATACAAGCCTGTTCGTTCGATTGCATCCAACTATAATGTCTTGAGACTACAGTATGCATTATTTTTCCATCGAAAATGAAAATATAACTTTCTTGCAGGAAGCACCACCGGAACCTCCTCCAGGTGAAGGTGGTGCACCAGCCGAAGGAGGTGCTGAAGGTGAAGCACCACCTATCCAGTACACCGGAAGTACCATGGCTTGCCATCCTTGGCTGTCCTCAATGATAAATTATGCGCAACCGATAAAGTTCCAGAGCTTCGAAGCTGCGATAAGTATGTAAAATACACGTTTGTCTCTTTTATATTAATAAAAGCCAAGCTGATGGTTTCTGTTATAACAAACATAATTTCTCGTGGAAATAATAATTTCGTATCGTTATTATTTTAGAAAAGAACATTCATCATAACATGTCCTCGTTCTCGGAAACCGCAGCGTTGAATTATCTGAAAACGCATTCGGTGGAATTCGTCAATTACAACAAACGTCAAATGAGTCGAATTTATCCGAAGGGTACGCGCGCCGATTCCTCGAATTATATGCCGCAGGTAAATTATTCATTTGCAATACAAATTTCGTTTGTAATATTGGGATGATTTTATTTTATCTTCTGTTCAGAACAATTTTCAGCGAACTGATTATAACTTGTTTCATATTTCGTGAAGTCTCAAATTCTGAAGAAATTGGCGATGCTTATACGCTTGTTGACACAAAAATGTTATGTCACTGATAATTATTAATGAAATGTTAATATGCTTATTCTGCAATCACGATTTCGTGCTTTTAATGTACATTTACGTTTCGAGGTAACAACGTAAAACGCGTTGTCACGTTTCCAGATTTATTTTACTCAATAAGTTAATTAACGTGCATAGTATATGCAAATTTTTTGTTCTATCTTTATATGTTTGAAATGCAGCAGCAGTTTTGACAATACTTTCTCAACAATGTAAGTTAATCATTTGTGAACACGTTTTCAACTTTTAGGTCTTCTGGAATGCTGGCTGTCAGATGGTAGCATTGAATTTTCAAACACCAGACTTGCCAATGCAGCTAAATCAAGGAAAATTCGAATTCAACGCAACAACCGGCTACTTATTAAAGCCAGAGTTCATGAGGAGGTTAGATAAAATTTTCGACCCGTTTTCTGAAGACGTGGACGGTGTTATCACTGCTCAATGTTCCGTCCAAGTAAGTATTACCATTCGCTAACAACTCTTAATTAATATCACATAGTTTGAAAATCAGTACAGTTATAAATTGTTGCTTGAAATTAAGTGCTGAACATGAAAACTATCTCGTTACTAATTCATGAATAAATCATAAATAAGTAAATATTTAATTGAAAAGAAATAACTTTTTATTGAGTACAACGACAAAATGTGTCTGATTAGCATCGTATTCATATTATGCTGTTAATAACAATTATTATTAGACTACGTGAGAATGCAGTGAATCGTGAATCAATAGAAGCGTGATCATTAGACTGCGGATCCTTGTGCAAATTCTTATTTTCATTTGTGATTTTACAAAAATTCGAATCACAAAAAGGTATATTCTACTAAATAAAATATTCAACGAAAAGCTTGCTCGTCGTAAAAAGAAAATAAAAATGCTAGTAGACTTCGTTGATTTATACGTTTTTTTGAATTTGAATAATCTGCACAGGCCATAAATGCACAAAGATCCGCAGTCCAGTAATCATAAAATCAGAATAATTGAAGTGCAAGATTTGCTTAATCCCACGATTATGTAACGAAGTATGTGATTTGAGGAAGCTACCCTAAAAGTAGTCCTTAACACGTTCCGTGCCACGTGTACCATCGATGGTACACGCTTGCATGTTTACTTAGTGAACTGAACAAATTGTTTACAAGAAATTTAGAACCGAAGAATCAATTTCCACCGCAAGAATGGGCGTTGATAAGTTTTTGTTACGTTGTTATGTGTACGAGAATTAATAATTGCACGTAATACATCAAGTTTTAGTAAAATATCAAAGTGTGAAGATTCGAGTAAAAAAAGCTCGGCACGGAACGTGTTAATCAACCTC